AACCAAAAGATATCGGCATTGAATAATATTCCGAAAATATCATTTCATTTAAATATTTGTAATAAAGTTAGAAGCTTTTCATTCTCAAGATTGCTCATTTCAGCACCAAAGTCTTGTATCATATATATATATATATATGTGTATATATATATGTATATGTATATATATATATATATATATATATTCAATTTATGACCATAGGACTATTTTATTGTTCTTGAAATCCATGCGAAGATAGAATCGTATTCCGTCGTTCGTTATCTTCTTTGATCTCTGAATCCAGCCCATAAAAGCATAGCAAACGGGAACGCAGGGCATCATTTCTCTAGTTCCTTCGGCTGCATAGAATTCGGTCATTGATATTGTTGAAAACCCTTATGGTCTCTGACAGGGAACGGCAGAGAGAGTCACAGATAGCGCTGACATCTTCATTGTCTGCCAAACGCTCTGTGTCTCAAATCATTTTGTTTGCCAGAGCCAAAAACTAATTGGGTGCACATCATTCGGCCTCAGAACAAGACCTTCACATAATTGATCGCCCAATAAGCTTCCGATAGTGCCCCTTTGTTGGCGGGGTTCTGGACATATTCGATGCAAGCCTGGTTCCCGCCTGGAAACACTGAACCTGCCCAGTCACCACAGAAGTCCAAGTTGATCACGAGCTGCTGGTCGTTGAAATGCCAAGAAGGGCAATTGTAGAACGGGAATGTCACATAAGGTGTGCCCCATGAGTATGTGTTGCCCTGGTCTAAATCCGCAGGGATCTGGCCACGGGGGAAGAACCACATGTAGATGCCCTCATTGGTCCACTGGGTGGCAAAGACTCCGCCTCCGTTTGCATTGAAACCCGGGCCCCCACTGTTGTAGGGAGCATTCACGCCACAGCCGCTTTGTCCCTGCCCGGAAACACAGTCCGGGGTGCTGATCCCGTCGATGTACATGAAGCATCCGGCAGAGGTGTGGAGAGTAGACTGCACGTTGTTCTCAATATTCACGGTCCTAGGTTCCCAGATGTTCCCAGCAGCCCATTATTGGAGGCCCGAAAACGAGGGCATAACGGCACCAACATCCCTATAGAAACCCCTGAAAGCCCTTAAAGAGAACCCTCATAGGTATCCTTAAAAGAGCCAGTAAATACACCCAAGCCCTACAAACAACCGATGGCACCCTTCTAGGGCCCTTCAAAGGAACCCGTAGCCGTCCTTATGCAAAACCTTGATGCAATCTTTCTAGAACCCTTGTAGGAACCTGCCAGGGGCCCTTGAAGGAACTCCAAAGCCCAAAACAACCCATACGGTTTAGGGTTTAGGGTTTAGGGGTTTAAGGTTTAGGGTTTAAGGTTTAGGGGTTTAGGGTTTAGGGTTTAGGGTACAGAATTATTAAGCCCTCTCTCTCTCGCGGACTCAGGGGTCTGTCAGCCGCGCGGTTGCCCAGTACTTAAGCCCCCTAAACCCTAGAAACCCAGACCCTCAATGTAAGGGCCTTAATAAATCGAATAGGGTTTTTTTGTGGTTCCTTATTCCATTTGGAGCATAATATACCTCAAACCCAACTCTAGTTATTAAGGCCCCCATATTCCCGGCCTTCAAAACCCCTAAACCCCAAACCCTACCCTAAAACCCCAGACCCTCAACTAGGATGCCCAGTACCCTAGGAATAAAAAGGGCTCCCCTTTTGGTGCTCGGCAACTTTATACTGGGCAACTTTATAAGGAACCTAGGACTACGCAAAGGGAACAAGGGTACTATCGGGCATCCTACCCTAAACCCTACACCCTAAACACTAAACCCATCCTGGAAGGGATTCCGAATTCCGAGTTAAGCCCAGTGTCTCAATCGTGTCAATCTCCCCATTGTTCGGCCAATCAGGCCCGAAAGACCACCAAGCCGGCCACGTCCCCTGGCAGGGGTTTGTTTAAGGGTTTAGGGTTTGGGGTTTAGGGTTCGGGACTTCAAGCTTTTGTCAGGGTTTAGGTGGCTTTTGGGCCTCCTGTGATGTAGGGGCCTTAATAATTCGAACAGGGTTTTGGGGCCCATTGTACTATACATATAATAAGGAGCCCCCAAAATCGTATAGACAGGTACTTATTGGGGCCCCTATATTACGGTGTTCTATAAGGCTTAAGGATTTAAGGGTTCAGGGATGATCGGGGTTTGGGGGTTTAGAGGGTTTAAGAGTTTAGGGGTCAGGGCTTGGTTGCGGGTTTAGGGTTCGGCTTTAGGGTTAGGGTTTAGGGTTTAGGGTTCGGGTTTATAGAAATTGTTAAGGGTTTGGGTGCCAATAAGTTTTGACCGAAACGTTTTGACAAGAGTTTTGATTTTGGAACCATGTTTTGAAATTTGCTGAGGGGGGGGGGCTGGAGCTCTGGAGCTGGGGCTCTGGGGGGGCCTGGATTTGGGACTGGGCCTGGATTTGGGACTTGGCCTCGATTTGGGGTGCGCCTGGATTTGGGGTCTGGAGCCTGGATGTGGGGCCTGGGCCGATTTGGGACTGGGATGGGATTTGGGGCTTTGGGACTGGGCCTAAATGCCTGGATCCAGGCCTGGAGCCTGGATTTGGGACTGGGCCTGGGCCTGTGGCCTGGACCTGGATTGGCCTGGCCTGGATCTGGGCTGGAGCGTGGATTGCGCCTGGATTTGGGCTGGAAGCTTGGATTTGGGGTGGAAGTGCCTCAAGCCTGGATTTGGGACTGGGCCTGGATTTGGGGTCTGGTATTTGGGGCTGGGGCCTGGATTTAGGGTCTGGAGCCTGGGGCTTGGGCCTCGATTTGGGGCTGGAAAGTTGAAGCTTGGATTTGGGGTGGGCTTGGGGGTGGGGTCTGGCTGGGAGGGTCTGGTGCCTGGATTTGGGGCTGGACCTGGAGTTTTGATTTTGGAACCATGTTTTGAAATTTGGGGGCTGGAGCTCTGGGGCTGGGGCTCTGGGCAGCCCTGGATTTGGGACTGGGCCTGGATTTGGGGGTCTGGAGCTTGGATTTGGGACCTTGGGACTGGGGTGGGATTGGGCCTGGATTTGGGGTGGGCTTGGATTTGGGGTCTGGAGCCTGGATTTGGGGTCTGGATTTGGGCCTGGGGCCTGGTGCCTGGACTGGGCCTGGATTTGGGGTCTGGATTTGGGGCCTGGGGCCTGGATTTGGGGTGGATTTTGGAGCCTGGAGCGGGCCTGGATTTGGGGTCTGGAGCCTGCAGATGCCTTGAAGTCTGGAGCCTGGATTTGGGGCCTGGGCCTGGATTTGGGACTGGGCCTGGATTTGGGGTCTGCAGCCTGGATTTGGGGGATTTGGGACTGGGCCTGGATGCCTGGATCCAGGCCTGGATTTGGGGCTGGGCCTGGATTTGGGGTGTGGATTTGGAGTCTGGAGCCTGGATTTGGGGGCCTGGATTTGAAACTTGGGGCCTGGGTTTGGGGCCTTGGGCCTGTGGACCTGGCTGGCCTGGATCTGGGCTGGAGCTTGGATTTGGGCCTGGATTTGGGGTTTGGATTTGGGACTGGGCCTGGATTTGGAGTCGCCTAACCCTGGATTTGGGGCTGGAATTTTGAAGCTTGGATTTGGGGTGGGAGGGCCTGGTGCCTGGATTTGGGGCTGGACCTGGATTCTGGATTTGGACCTGGATATGGGGGATTATTGGAAGGTGGGCCTGGGTTGGAGGTTAAGGAGAAATCGGTTTATCAAGAAGCTTGTTCCGTTTTTCATCAAGTGGCTGTTTTGAGTTGGCTGGGCTGAGTTAATGGTTGAAGTTATGGTTGTGCCCGAAATGCTGGGGGTCTGGCCTGGATTTGGGGTCTGGAGCCTGGATTTGGGGCCTAGATCCTGGATTGTGGGCCTGGATTTGGAGCCTGGATTTGGGGTCTGGAGCCTGGGTTTGGGGCCGGGGGCCTGGGTTTGGGGCTGGGCCTGGGTTTGGGGTCTGGGGCCTGGGATGGGCCTGGGGGCCTGGGGTCTGGGGCCTGGGCTTGGAGGGCCTGGCGCTTGGATTTGGGGCTGGACCTGGATTCTGGATTTGGGGTTTGGGACCTGGATTTGGGGGATTGGAAGGTGGGCCTGGGTTGGAGGTTATGGAGAAATTGGTTTATCAAGAAGCTTGTTCCGTTTTTGATCGGGTGGCTGTTTTGAGTTGGCTGGGCTGAGTCAATGGTTGAAGTTGTGGTTGTGCGAAATTGGATTATCAAGACGCTAACGCCAGTTTTATCCGAAATGTTGGGCCTTAGCGGTGGTTACAAACAAGGACAAGCAATTTCTATTTATCACTTTCTTGAGGGTTTAGGGTTTAGGGTTTAGGGGTTCAAGGGTTCAGGGTTAGTATAAGGGATATCACTTTAATCAGGTGAGGGTTTAGGGTTGAACGTTTTTGGGCCCAAAGACCATACTGCAGAAGGCTTTCGCTAAGTGTTCTATACTTTAGAGGGCAAAGGGCTTAGGAGGGCCTTGGGAGTTCAGAGTTTGCAGGAGAGTTTGGGGATTCATGGGTTCGAAAAATGGGGGACCCTAAGGGAGTACCCCCAAAAAGAAGGATCCTTGTTACAAGGACCCCACAATAAGGTACCCCTAATTTTCGGAAACTCCCGTGTTGAGGTTTGGGCTTGGGGCCTGGCCGGTGGGCATGTGTGCGATGTCAATCAGCCAAACGTGGCCTGCCTGGCAGGGTTTAAGGGTTTAAGACGTTTGGGGGGTTTAAGGTGTAGAGTCGTAGGGTTTTGGGAGTTGGAGTTTAGGGATGCGAGTTTTTAGGGTACAGGCTTTTGTTTTGGGGTTTTGGGGCTTTGCGGTTTGGAGGTTGAGGGGCCTGGTAGACAGATCGAGATTGGAGTCTGATACTCTTGGCCGGCGCGTTCTCACCCACGATGCTCCTCAGGTACACAACACCGTCTTCCACGGAATACAAGTTCAAGTCGATGGCGGTACTTTCAGCCACGTAAACGACGTCGCCGTGGGTAGGGTCTGGTGCCGTGAAGAACGTCCAGCATTCGATGAATCCGTCTCCTGAGCAATCCTCGGAGGAGGTCAGATCGTTAGGGTTTAGGGTTTTAGGGTTCAGGGTTTAGGGGCTTTAGGCTTTAGGGTTTAGGGTTTCGGGTTTAAGGTTTTAGGGTTTAGGGTTTAGGGTGGTCAAGCTCTTATAGGGCAGCCACCACACAAAGGCAGGCTTGAACAAACGAACCGAAACTCGCTCAACTGGCAGTACTATAGAAGTCTATACTATAGTAGAAATATACTCTGCTATATCACAGTGCCTAATGTACTATACAATAATCCGAGGCTCAAGAGTGACAGCCGAATTGCTGGCCGGAGCCGGGACGGGTGCAGGTGCAGGTGCAGGTGCAGGTGCAGGTGTCACTGAACCACCGCCTTAGGGAGCAGAAGGACCTACCCCACCAAAGGACATATATATATATATATATATGTGTGTGTGTGTGTGTGTGTGTGCGTGTGTACATATGTATTTGTATATATATATATATAGAGAGAGAGAGAGAGAGAGACAGACAAAATGACACACACACACACACATATATATGAACATTATATGTGTGTGTGTATGTATGTATGTATGTATATATATATATATATATATATATGTATACATATATATATATATACACACATATTTATGTTTGCTTTAAACAACGCCCTAAACATGTAATTCTGAGAAGGTCCTGTATGTAATCTGTGGCCTGTGAATGTGGACCCTTTTCGCAACTCTACTTGAAGATCGGCAGGACTTAGCACTTAGCTTGTAACAAAAACTAGCAAACTGCAGGAACCCCCGCAGGAAACTCATAACCCTGCTTTTCAATCTGCTGAGGGTTTAGGGTAAGCCCCCTGATCGTTGAAGCCTTGGGCCTTTGCTTCAGCACCTCCCAAGCTAATCCCAGAAGCCCAAGCCCGTGGTTTTCTTACTACCCCAATAAACCACAGAATTTTATGGTTAAACTATCCGATTCCCACTTTAGGGGATCTATATAAGTTTTTGGGGGCGCAGGCTTGGGGTTTAGGGTTTTGGGGTGCAGGGTTTGGGCACAGCCGAGACCTCGAGGCTCTCGTATCCAAACGGTTCCGCTAAAATCCGAGCTGCCCGACGTGGTACAGTCTTGCGACTTCTTCGGAACGGGGCATCCGGTGAAGCTGTCATCTGCAGAAGGGCAGACGGTACCTTAGCATCGCGTGACCGTCGGCAAGCACTTCCAAAAACACCATCCTAAAACAGAAGCTGCCGGAACGACCATCCACAGGAGGATCGTAATACCCGACACCTCAACTCATACCAAAACTAATAGAATAGGGTTTTGGGGAACGTCATAATGTAATCATAACAAGGAACCCCTACAATAGTATGGGTAATTATATTGAAGCACCTACATTATCCAGAAGATCGTCCGAATGGATGCCAGGTACCATCAGGGCAGCATTGGTTACCTGCACACGAAGTACCACTGTCTGGGCACGACACCGTAGCCTGGGTTCTTGTCAAGAACTTTATTTAGGTTACCATAATAAGGAAAATGTACTATAGATCGCTATTATTGAAGCTTAAATTAAATTTCTCAACATGAACCCAGTAGCACCGGCGGAGCAACGACCCGCAGAGAGAAGTTGCCGGCCACGAGCGTCATGTGTCCGAGCCTGTTCAAGGAAGAGGCGGGGGAGTTTCCACTCGAAGGGTGGAAGGACTACCATCGTAGATATTCTGGCCACGATGTAGCACATGCCAATAAAGCCTAAACCTAATTAGGTGCGTGTAGGCCTAGTCTTGAAAACTTTCGCGACTGAGCCTGCAGAAGAGATTGAGGCTCACATTCCCCTTCGGATCCTGCTGATTCTGTCTGAGTCCTTACTACCCCAATACGCCACAGATTTGAAAGGTTAAACTTTCCGATTTCTACTAAACTACACGAACCCAAAAAGTTTAAAGGTTGGGTATTGGGGATTTAAGAGTCCTCAGGCAGCTGGAGTTGTCGGAAGCGCCAAAAGCTGCGATGGATCCGCAGAGCACTAACGACAACCAACGAAGAGGAGCCATGAATATGAGAGGTGCCCGCAAAGGTTGGACAGGAACGACCGCGAGGCTCGAGTGACAAACGGCTGCGGAGGAAAAAAAAGATGAGTCATAAGCGCTGCGATGAGTGAAAGCAGCCAGAGTTTTACCGCACTACTGCAGTTGTGAGTCGTACGCACTTAGCCATGTCCATGTTATGACTCAAGCTATGACTCTAGCACGATGCCTGCTAGTTTCAAGCGGGATGCTTTGACTTTGCTGCTGCTGGAACCCAGAGTAGTACATCCAGATTGATTCTGCAGAAGGGTGCTGCGACGTTAGGGTTGACGAGTTTAGGGTGCAGCAAATCTTGCGCACGGTTCTTATTCGCTGAAGCAGCAAGACCTCCATGAGGTGACTCAGAGAAAAGTCAGAATGGCCTTGGTATGCTTTTCGCTTGAAGGATCACTCGGCAACAGCTATACTCCCACTTTGGGGCGCTTCTGTAAGTAACAAAAGAACGACTACGAATCGAGGCGGCCTCAACAAACTCAACGTCCCAGCCCGCCATAATCCGATAGTTCGCGGTCTCTCGGACAGGACTGAGATCAGGATTGCCCGCAGAACAGAAGAGACGTAGGACGCTTGGACCAGGGAGGAGTCGTTCAAGTCAGTCGGAGCCCGGGAAAAGTCAGGCGGTCAGGCCACCATAGTTCTTTCTAGGGTTTAGTTTAGGGTTTAGGGTCTTGATCAACCCGGTCTGCGTCCACGAGCATCTGCGGCATGTCTTCTTGGCCTTGGCGCAGCACCTTGTTCAATTAGCCTCACCTCGGTCTTTTCACAGACATACGCACGATCACCTAAAGTAAAAAGTTCAGATGCGCAGATACAAGTAACTGATGCCGAGCGTCGATGTCGCTGAAGCCTGCATCGCCCGCCAGCTGCACTGCAGTCTTGCCCTTCATGTCGACCAAGCTAACATCAGCTGCTATACCCAACAGCAACTGCACAAGGTCCCGATGGCCCTTCATGCTTGCCAGGTGGAGTGGAGTTTGCCCGCCACTGTTCGCTAAATTCACTTCAGCACCTGCCTCCAGCAGCAAGCGCAGCACAGCAGCCTGACCTACCCAGCAAGCCTCGTGGATAGCCACATTCGGGTCTATGGGGTATTGCAGCATCTTCTCCACCTCAACCACCTTGCCGTTCCGTATGGCGATCTTCAAGTCAAGCAGTTGCGGTGAAGGCACGTCGCAGAAGGGAAGCAACACAAGTTGAACATCCATGGCGGCATCCAGCCTTGCCTTATATGCACACCACAATGCAAAAAAAGGCCTCCCTTGGCCCCACTCTCCAACGAAGCCCTTTTTCATCCAGGCCTATTGCGAGTGCCGGGTACCCCTAAACCCTAAACCCCTAAACCGTAAATCGTGGAACCCAAACCTGCGCGCGTAGCTGCGCTGTCCTCAAGCGGCACATCGCCGCAAAGCAGCCGCTGCCTGAAACCACTATTTAGCGGGGCTAACTCGGGCACTCCCCCCATACAGGAACAGTCTATAGTAGGGCTACTATTAAGGTCCTAATATATATATATATATATATATATATATTATGACTATTATCCAACTGTTACTGAGTGGGGGCAGTACCCAAGGGCTAACTGTGTTGGGCTTAAGGGTTTTAAGGGTTTCGGGGTTTAGGGCTTAATTGGGGGTTTATAGGGCGGCTAACTGTGTTGGGTTGAAGGGTTGAAGGGTTTTCCAGCTGAGTTGGGGGTTTTATAGGCTAGAGAGCTCTACAATCCACAAGGGTTCCGTCACTCGAGCGTAGTTTTGTCTGCCTGAAGCGGGGCACGCCGCATACCTCGCGTAAGCGCTCCTTCAGTGTTCCGACCTGGGATCTTCGAAGAGAAGAGCTGTTTAGGGCTTAGGGCTCAGGGGACTGAGTAAGTAGGGTTGTAATTGGGGATATGAGTCCCCTAAGTGGGGCTATCCTAATCATAATCTTACTTGCAAAGTCACTTGGGCTTTGAAGCGGCTTTTAGTATCTTACGGATCCATTCCCCCATTCCCTGCTAAGAACCAGGGAGAGAGAAAGACTGACCACTGCCAATATACCCGGCTCTTCAGGCTTCAGAGTCTGGGGGTAACTCAATCAGGACCAACCCTACGCCTTAAACCCCATAGGCTCCTTTCGTCCCTGAGCCGTAAGACCCCATCCACTTCCGTGAAGGGCACTGCACCGTCAAAACCGTCACCCCTAAACCCCCGATGGGCCCCGAACATTGAAGAACCGAGACTCTAGCTTTAGTCTCCATTGTAGTTCCTTTTTGGGGTTACCTTTTAGGATCCTTAATATATAATTGGTTAAACCAAAACAAGGAACTACAATGGAGCCTAAAGGTAAACCCCAAACCTTCTCCAGAATACTGCCTCGCCTTTTCGCATAGGTCGACTTAACAAGGGCTCCGGGTTTAATGATTTCAGAGCTTTAGGGTTTTTGGGTATGGTGCTTACGGGGTTTAGAGTTTTAGGCTTGAGGATTTTAGAGTCTAACTGATAGATTCAGGGCATTGGGTGCTTGATGGTTGTTGGCTGTCTTGGGTTTCAAGAGGTTTTGAGGTTAAGATTGTGGTGCAGGGGTTAGGGCTTCGTCGTGCATCGTAGGCCGTTGCACAGCGCTCACAAGACAGGAATATTGACCGACATGCTTCGCAGTGATACTGTTGATGATAAAAATCCTGCATACCCCAGCATAAATATACCATAATCCCCATAGTTTAGGGCCATTGAGGTAATGAAGGTTTTTTATCATCAACCGTGGTGAATGACCTTTGGATCCAGCAATTTCGTTAGAAGTGAAACAAATTGTAATTCTCATAAACTACAAGACTCCACCCAACACCCCAATCCAAAACGTACCCTAGACATTATATGGGACTCTCAGTAGCCGTCCTAATCTTCGGCACGTGAAACATCGGCTGATTGTTGTGAAGATGTCCTACAGGAAACCTCGAATCGTAAGGAATCTATATAACCTTATGATTTTGAAACTCCAAAAAACCATTTGCAAGCCCTGAACCCTTTCGGCTGCAACAACTATCTACAGCCGCCTGCATTCAAACCATTACGAAGGACCAGACCTACCTGTTGGTAGGGCCCCGATAACTTCCATGTTAGGGCGTTTAAAGTTATGGTAGTATAGGACTTGATACGAATCCTACTGATTAACTTGGGGTTATAAGACCATGGCTTCTTAAATAGGTTTTCCTTTACATTCGGCCCGAGGGGCCGTCTTCAATTCCTTCACAGGGATGACAGTGACCTCATCGCCAGAAGTTCCACTGCGAACGCGAAGCATCAGGTCTCAGATGGTCGAAAACCCCTTGAACAGGGGCCTTCGCAGTTTCAATAGGGTTCCTCTAGACTTCATTTAATGGGGTAGCGGGCCTCTATAAGGGCTACTGTACGACGGGCTCTATACGGCTATACGGGTTACGTTGAGGGCCATTATGCTCAGCTATCAGGGTTTAATACCGTGGCCTTCCATCGTGGGGATAGGGTTTGGGGTACAGTATGGTATACTTCTTAAAAATAAGAGACTCTAAGGAATAGTGTTACAATTTAAGCTTGAAGGTTCAGTGTCAGGTCTCGCGAGGCCACCCTCTGAGGCATTACACCATGCCATCTATGTAAATATCTATGTCTCTCAACTCTCTCTCTCTCTCTCTCTCCCGTCTCTGCTTCAACTTCACATGTTTAAGGATCGAGCCGAAACTGCTGCAACGCGACTCTTGGTTTGGTGCAGTGCCCTCAGAAAGCTGGGGACAAGCTGTTGCGTCTTCTGACCAGTACACTTTGAGGATCATGGGACATAGTAACTAGGGAACTAGGGTTATAGGTAAGGTAACTATACTTATAACCCCAAATAAAGTACTTATAACCTCACTTGCTAAGTCCCCAGATCCTTTAAGCACCTGCTTTCAGCTATGGTGGATCCTGCACCCGAAACCGTGGGCTTTTCAGGATTAACTCCCCTTTTGAGCTGAATTCAGGGGGAAGGCTGCATCTCAGGACATCGGGCTTCGTTGAAAGTCTTTCTGGCGTCCCGGCTTGCAAGGTCTAGCCTGCCAGGCTGCGAGCATGTTAAAGCACCTGAAAGGTGCAGGGAGGTGTGCCCAGGCCCGCAAACTGCTTATCGCCCACTGCCTGATCCCCCTGATCCTTCAAGCATGCTGCTTGAGGCCTGTATAAACCTCTGTTGAATGGCCTAGGTAGATGTCCTGTTCAAGGTTCAAGAGACATGTAAAGTTCACACATTAAAAGCAAAGCCGCGTATGGTCGGATTGTTGCCGGGACAGCTGATATCCCGGAACCACTAGCAGCTGCCCTCCGTACATCATGGCCGCCGGTGTCATGCGTAAATCTGCAGCAGCACCCCAGAAATTGTCAACCCTAACACCTGAAGCCATAAACCCTAAACCCCTAAAACCTAAACCCCAAAGCCCTTTTTCTGAGCAGGGACTCCAATGCACTAAGCCCTGAATCCCTTGAGCCACCCAAAGCTTAAAGCCCCCCTAAAACGAAACCCCAAAGCCCCAAAACCTTAAACGCCCAGACTAACGCCCCTAACCTTGGACCCCTAAAGCCCTAAACCTGAGGGTCCATGCACCAAAGTAGCATATTCCTTTGGCCCTTAAAGTAGTCCCTGTAAAAGTAATTTTGGGGCCAAAGTATATACTACGGTTGATGATATAAATCCTGCATTACCTTAAGGACCCTAAACTATGGGAATTATGGCATATTCCTTATCATGGGTAATGCAGAATTTATGTCATCAACCGTACTTGGGCACATGGACCCGTACTTAAAGGATCGTGGGACTTAGTAAGTGGGGTTACAAGTACCTTAATTGAGGTTATAAGTATAGTCACCTTACTTATAACCCTAGTTACTAAGTCCCATGATCCTTTAAGTACCCCCAAAAGCCTTACAGAACCCTTAATAGTAGCCTGTATAGATCCCTTAAAGGAACCCTTTAAGGAAGCCTAGGCCCAAGTTACTAAGTCCCATCATGATCCTCTAAGTAGGGCAAACCCTTCAAGTCGAACAGAAGCATCGGAGCTCAGCTCAGCTGAGCTTTCGACAAGTAGAGGCTTAGTTTAGGCTTTTGGGGCTTTAGGGTTTAGTTTAGGGTTTAAGGGTTTCTATAGGATCTGTAACCGTGTCTTTGCAATTACAAGGCTTCGGCAGGATACTTGAAATTCTAGGTGTGGTTATATCATGTTGTGTCGGATTTATACACGGCTTTATGGGGTTTCGAGTTTAGTGATAGGATATATAGGGTATAGGCTGGGCTGTGGTAGCCCAATGCACAGGATGCAAAAACACAGGGTTTTAAAACCCTTAACCCGAGAACCTTGCGTACACCCAACAGTCACATTCATAAGAAGTCCAAGATTTACACACTTTTCCCTGATGCCGGACTCATTCAGCTCGGGTCGGGTGGTCTGCGAATCTGTACACAACTTCAGCCGCCTTGGGCGGAAACTGCATGACTTTCTGCGCTGGTACTGGGACTGCATGGGTTTAGGCTTTCGCGGTTAGCGTTCTGGGCTTAGGGAGCAGGTTGAAGTCTGGACAACTCTTCGTCATCCTCACAAACCCGCATTCCTCCCGGTAGAACGTACTTGGCGTCCCGATGCCTCTCGTTCTGGCTGCCCACCACTTCCCGCAAATCACGAACGGTGGAAGCAGGCTCCAGGACGAACTTGCCCAAGCAATCGCCAGCCAGAGAGAGAATCTCCACCTCCACCGCCTGAACGATGGTACTTAAAGGATCGTGGGACTTAGTAAGTGAGGTTATAAGTACCTTAATTGGGGTTATAAGTATAGTTACCTTACTTATGACCCTAGTTGCTAAGTCCCGTGATCCTCTAAGTAGGGACATAGGCTCATGGATGACATGCCGGTCCCCGGCTAGTAGACAGAGGCTTCGTCATGTTTGTGCCGCCTTGGTGAGTAAACCGTAAGTAGGGGCTTCTACGGCGTACCACGGCAGCGGTGATATGAAATGTTTTGAATACTTTAGACAGGGCTCGGGTTAATCGGCTAATACAACTGCTGCATATATAGGTAAGCAGTGAAAATGCATGCATGAACAAATTAATGTAGATATATAAGTGTATATATATATACATACGGACATAGTTACATGTATATGTATATATATATATATATATATATATATATACGGACCATGATGCACTACTATTAACTACCAACCGACATGCGCCTGTATTAGTTCGCCCCGTACTATCCGTACCTAGAAGCGGTCCCTGGAGATCGCACCGAGTCACTCACTCAAAGCTCCTGCAGTCTACAGTAGGGGTTACGACAGCTGCGGTGGAGGACAGAAGAGACATGGCTCCATAAATGCCAACACCGGAACCTGGAACCCCTGTAAGAACCCTAACTCATACGGTTTATGGCTGCGGCTTGGGGTGCCTCTTGACATTGCTGCGAGCCCCCTACCTTGATTTTTCTACCCACCCCGGGCCTTTGAGGTCGATGAACAAATATCAACACCCGTATATATGACCTTCTGAAGCCGGTAATGCCAAAGGTCTACATATACGACGTATACGAAAGATGTTAAAAACGCAAGGGAAGCCTGCCAACAAACCGTTCGACTCCTGACGCCTAACCCTTAACCCGAAACCCTCACACAAAAACCCCAAGGAACACGGGGCCAGGTCGCAGTGTCTGAGCATCTGATGTCCAGCTGAAGAACCAGACTCGGCCGTTGCAGCAGGATACGAGTCCAGAGACCCTGTAGCCTGGTTGCCAGGCTTGAAGGCTGGGGCCCACTTGGAGGGTCGGGGGACTTAGTAAGTAGGTAGTAAGTAGACTTATAAGTACCCTAAAAGGGACCCTAATTGGGGTTATGGTACTTATATGTCCCGAAAAATAACCAGTTACTAAGTCCCCCGACCCTCCAGAAGGAGTTTAGGCTAGGGGATAGGGGCCTTAGTAGATAGAAGAGGTCTTGGGCGGTATAGTCAAGTATGCTCGTAACAAAGTGCCCCAAGGACTAATATTGAAAAACCATTTATGTTCCTATATTGTCAGGATAGAAGGTTATGTCTGGGTTTGGGGTTTACATAGGGTTTGATGCCTTTCGACTTGTCCGTAGTTCTACGCCTATTAAACCGGGTTTTTAGGTGGGAGTTCGGATTAGGGGAATTTTGGGGGATATAGACCCTCTCAATAAGGCTCCTTTTAAGAGAGCCAGAAGAAGGGTTCAGAAGGGGTACCCTTTAAGGGGTCTCCCAGATAATACTACCCATATGGGTTTAGGCAGGATCTTGAAGAGGCTATTGATGCTGATGTTCTGCGTGTGACCTCCCTGTAAGCCTGGGAGGTTCTCATCTAAGTAGGACACATTTCAGCACAGCGCCTCATCCTGAACCCAAAACCTCAATACCATGTACTTACTATGCTCGAGCGGATAACATCTCGAAGCTGTAAAAATTCAGCCTTGCCACCCCCTTCTCTAGCTTTGCACACCTGGACTCCCTACCTAATGCAAGAGGACATGCTCACACTCCTGAGGCAGACAGCACACCAGAGGCTGTCGGCAATGATGGCTAGAAGCTAGAAACTCTAAACGCTAAACTTTAGCTCAGATGCGTCCTTTGTTTGATTCAAGCACCGTTTTTGTACAAGAGTGTGCTTGAATCCAAAGTACGTCAAAAAGGAATTCTAGGACAGTGTATATGTGTACCACGGCCAGATCCCAAACCGTGCAAAACCCTCGCAATTCACCGTGCCCGAGTCCTGTCGTGGTCCGGGATCACGGTCTCCCCGTGCCGGCCGTGCCAAACCAAGAAGTCACCGTCCGCAAACCTCGATTTTAGATGCAAACCCCCGAACATCTCTAGACGATGACTGCAGCCACCGGGGTGTGTTGAAAAAGCATTATATGAGGATAGTACTGGCAGTCTTTCAGCCCGTATAACTTCATGATTAGGATGCTGGTGCTGTGGCTATGAAGCATTTTCGGGCTGTGCTAGTGAGATACTGTCGTTGTGATGATAAAAGTCACATCCAAATGGCTTCTTGGCACATAAACAGGAGTTAGGAGTAGCGGGACCCTTGGGGATATAGATTCCGCATGGTCCGTTTTAAGAGAACTTGAAGTAGGGTCCCTGAAGGGGTCTCCCTTATACTACCTAGGAATATCAGCCTCCTCCCCTCGACCGCCACCATCATCGCAACGCCTTACACCCCAAACCCTTAACCCAGTAAAGCCCTATAAACTCCAAAAACATCGGGCTTCTGGCTCTTGTCGGGCTATGGTTGAGACCTGACTGTGAGTTTTGTATAAAGCTGCAGCTTAGCTGGTTGAAGCGAACATAGGGTCTTTGATGATTTCCCTAAACCCAAACTATGGCCAGGATGTCTCGAACGCACATCCCCAATTCTGCACATGATCGGGTATAGTGCTAATTCATGCCGAATCTTCGTTGGAGCAGCGCAATCGGGAACATTCTGCTCTTCCATTTCTCCATGAAGTTTGACAAACAATAGGTGCATGCCACAGTCGTACACTTGAGGTTTAGGGTTTGCTACTGACTACCGGCTGCTTTCGCCGTCAAGTTTGCTGAGTATTGTCTCCTCTGAGAATTGAACAGAATCACCAACCCCCTAAACAATAACCCCGAGGCAACATGAACACTATCTAAAAGGCCGCCCCCCGGAAACTACCCCAACTCCGGACTGCTTAGTTGAACCTTACAAGTTCAGGTCCGCTGCCACCGATTTCGCGGCTTCCTCACACATACGGTTGATGATATAAATCCTGCATTACCCATAATAAGGAATATACCATAATTCCAATAGTTTAGGGTCATTAAGGTCATGCAGGATGTATATCATCACCTTACCGTCACGAATCCTAAACCCCGAATGCCTACATGGGCCTAACCCAAACCTGCATTTTTTCCGAGGTGCTTGGTCCCTTGATCTTCCTCTCTCCACTGGAGAGCTCGGCTGCTTCTGAAGACAGCATCCTCCCAGGAAGTGCACAAGCGGAACTATACAGGCCTTAATCATCAAACGTGCTTTGAGTTAAGGGTAGATTATAGAATTTTCGAAAAGATGGAACCCTAAGCAAACGTCGTAGTGGTAGCAGTAGTAGCAGCAGCAGTAGCAGTAGCAGTAGCAGTAGCAGTAGCAAAAGCAGTAGCAGTAGCAGGAGTAGACCAAACAAATGAAAACCACGCAGGCTTGAGCGTTCAGGTTTAGCACAAGCCTCAACTCTTATACCCTGCATCCCTAAACTTAAATCCAGAAAACCTTCCGGGACTACGTCAACGGGAACCCTTTTAAAAGCCCTTACTAAAACCCACCACACAGGAAAGCGGCCTAGATAAGTAGATTCAGAATACAGTGTCGCGTATATGCATCAATAAGGAAACCTCGAGGATGGTATGGTTACTTATTCAATTCAGGCCCTAAACCCTAAACCCTAAACCCTCAGCCCTAAATCCTCGCCCTCAGCCCTCCAGATCGTGCCTTTAGGGTTCAGGGCTTGAGTGCTCTACAGCGGTGTAGGGATGTAGGGTAAAGGGGCTTTGGTTGGGCGTGTTCGAGCTAAGGGTCGAATCAGAGTTGAACTAGTAGTAGTAGTAGTAGTAGTAGTAGTAGTAGTAGTAGTAGTAGTAGTAGTAGTAGTAGTGGCAGTAGTAGTAGCAGTAGTAGTAGTAGTAGTAGTAGTAGTAGTAGTAGTAGTAGGACTTTGTTGTAGGACTTTGCTGTGGTGTATCATGGTTGAACTTCGTAGTGGCGACGACGAGGGTTTAAGGCTTCGGGCCTTCGAGGTTATTAGTAACAGGTTTAGGGTTTGAGGTTTAGGGCATCGGGTTTAGAGTCAGCAAGTGCCGGGTCCTGAGTGACCAGCAAGTTGCAGTTGAAGCCTTCGTGGTGTGTGATGAGTTCGTGCGCGTCAGCGGCATCCTCTCTGCAGCATGCTAGAATGCATACACCCTAAAACGCAATCATAAATCAACTCTGCGTCGGAATGACTGGTAAGAGTTTCCCTTTCCAGCAAAACATGTCCTCAAATCGTGCCACCTCCCATCCGGCAGGAATTTGCAGAAATTCCTCCTGACTGTGATTGTGCCTCACGTCATCCAGAACCTCGCAGTTTAGGGCTTAGCGTTTGAGGGAAAATGGGCAGCTCACAACAGAAGCCTCCATGACTGACTCTTGGTGAAATCTTCTTCTGTTGAGCCACCCTTGTACGGCATTGCCAGACATAGAAAAAGCTGCGTGGGCATGTCTAACACGTTGCATGCAGCATGTGACTTCTAAAATCACAATCGCTCGTTTGCTAAAGGATTGTCAGTGTCCTTGCTTGCCATCGTCAACCGTCACCGTCACCATCGCTTCAGAGAGATAGTTGGAATAATCTGGTAGACAGATCGATCAACCCTCTGTAATACCCAAACCGTACATTACATTCGGACAGCTTCTGCTTTTAGTCGGCAAACGATCGACGCTAAACCCGTGAACCTTCAGCCCCTGACCCCTCGAGTGCCATCGACTCCGCTGCTTCTCAAGCTTTGATCTTGAGACTTGGGGCATACGATTCTTGCTTGGCTTTACAGCGCTCTACTGGGGAATTGTAGGGATTTAAGGATTCCTCAGGTTTTACCAGGGTTTCGGGCTTAGGGTAGGGATGTCCATTCGAGGACACTAAACAGATCCCTGGCCCTGTACCCTAGGGTTTAGGAAGTCCATATTCAATGTCGATCTGTCGATCTATCTGTTTAATCTTGGATAACGGCTGCAAACTAGGGACGGGTGGTTTAGAGTTCAATGGCAGATCCGCAGGAACTCATTCCAAAGCTAACCCCTACAGTAACCTCTGAACCCTAACTCTAAACCCCTAAACCCCAAAGCCCTTTTTGCAGCTGGGCTGTTAGTGTCCCAAAAGCCCTGAAACGCCAAACCGTTGCGCCAAGTCACGGCGTAGTCCTGACCTGGGATTGAGAATCTGGGCTCTGAAGTAGCGAGGAAAAAAAGGCATATACTTTTATCTCATATTTGTCCCCTCTAAGTAACCGGTCCCAAGAAAGTACGGTTGATGATATAAACCCTGCATTACCTTAATGACCCTGAACTATGGGAACTATGGTATATTCCTTGTTATGGGTCATGCAGGATGTATATCATCAACCGTATTAAAGGATGGTACTCCAAAGCCCAGGAAGTGGCAGATCGGCCCGGGCTGCTTCTTCCGGGAAACTTATGAAATTAGGATGTCTCGGGTTTACGCTCTCACACTCGGACTCGGCAGATGAGGTCTCTCGGTTCGCAGTCGGGACTAATTTTGGCAATCTGTGCACTGACAACCATCAGCAAAACGATACAATAGATTGACAGGATAATGCTCGATGCACAAATCGCGCCAGCAAGCATTCTTTGATGCCAGCACACCCGCCCTAGTGTTGTCATGTGACAGCCCCTGTACAGTCTTTCCGGCGGTTCAACAACAGTGCCATGAGAGCTTTACACTTGGACTGTTGGTCATCCAGAACTGACGCTTCGGACTCACTCGCCGCTTCATGCTTCCCAAGCAGATCATCCATCGCAGCCACACTCAATGGTTCACTCAAGTCTTGTTTTCTGACAAAAGAAATCCCACTGCTGATCGCTCATCGGCCAATTCTGTTCACTCGAGCTGCCTAGAGGTTGTGACGGCAATGGTGTTGCTCGCTGCTGTGTGTCCTCTTCCTCGGAGACAGCAACATCCCCATGGAGCTCGACATCCTCGCTGCCACACGATGCGTAGTCCTCATCCCCAAATCGGATTGTCTCAGTCTGAGTGCCGGTCTCCAGAGTTTGGGTACACGCTTCCACCTGTGTTGTCATTGCACCCTCTCGATGTTGAACCTCCTCCCGGACAGCATGCAAGACTTGCGAGAGCATCAAGGAAATCTTCACGAGACCCTCTTTGTTGCAACAGAGTCGGGCATAAGCGATGTTTGATGCGAGCTTTCGAAGCGGCACCGGATTCATGACAAAAGTCACCAACCTAGAACGTCCCAAGACAAAGCTTGGAAGTCTCGAGCCACATGGCCTTGAGCCAAAATGGCTACGGAGGGTTCACTGTTTGGGATGTAGGCTTCGGGTTTAAGGCTTACGGTTTTGGGTTTATGGCTTAAGGTTTAGGGTTTAGGGCTATATAAGAGCTCTTATCTTCGACTCTTGCAGCCTTGGGGTGGGAAGCTTGTGTCGTCATCCCGGGCCCATAAACTATTGAGGATTTGTGCAGCTCCCAAACCGCTTGAAACCTCAGCACGTACAACCTTCTTTAAATTATTTAGGACCGGGGAAACGGTGTCGCATGTTCGAGATGTTGCCATGCGTTCAAAAAGATGCAAAAAGGTTTTCTGGCGTCCTGTAGCGATTACTTGAACCTTTGATATCCTGCCTTTTTGTGGGTTTCCCATAGGGGTTTCCTTATAATTACTTATAAGCCCTGAAAAAAGGACGGTTATTTGGTGCTAATTTATGCGTACGGTGAGACCCTAAACTCAAACCCTATATACCCTAAGCCCCAGGCCCCAAACCCTAAGCCTCAGCTTGCGTGCGTGAGGCTTAGGGTTTAGCTGTCAGCGTCAAGCGCCTGCGACAGCTGCGCTTGATGATACAAACCCTGCATTACCTTAAGGACCTAGACTGTGGGAGTTATGGTATATTCCTTAGTATGGCCCTAAACCCTAAACCCTAAAACCCTATAGATCCCTTAAAGGAACCCTTTAAAGGTGCCCTTATAGATCCCTTCCTTAGTATGGGCAGTGCAGGATTTATATCATCAACCGTGCCTCTCCTAACGGGACCCATGTCTGGCAGAACCCCTTCAAAACCCTACTTGGAGGGTCGGGGGACTTAGTAACTGGTTATTTTAGGGACTTATAAGTACCATAACCCCTTTTAGGGTACTTCTAAGTCTACTTACAACCTACTTACTAAGTCCCCCGACCCTCCACGTACCTGAAACTACCTCTTGCCTGGCTGCTTATATACTAAGTCCCCCGACCCTCCAAGTACCTGAAACTACCTCTTGCCTGGCTGCTTATTTAGTCTTTATCGGCTCTTATTGAAAAAACGAAATATAAAAGTTTAAGCATAGGGAACCTACAGAAAAGTGTTTTTCGATAGTTCCAGGTATAGCCCCCAATCCGAAAAATACCTCTTAGACCCACTGCGTGCGCTCGTAATAGTTGTGTGGTGGTGGAAGGTTTTCAACACCACGAAATTCTACGTACACTAGGATCTGGTTCTCCCCATCCAGGGGTTTCATAGGGTTCAGGGATTTAGGGTTCAGTGTGACTCATCCACATGCTGTCACAGCGTCCTTCATGGGTGAAGACTCTGAGGTCAACGGTCGGCCAGGAATAGAACTCGCTCCATTCCATCGAGACATTCAGGGTGTAGGGAGGCTAAAGTTCAGGGATTGGGATCTTGGATTTTAGAATTGTGCGATCGGGATGGCTACTGCGTGGTTGATCCGGCTCTAGGGCTTTTGACGTGAAGGGATTGGGGATGTAGGGCTTGGGATTTTGGGATCACGACGCCGACCGGGTGCGTCTTTCTGGCCATCATGTTTCGGTCTTATCACGAAGACGACTGAACCCTAAACCCTGAACCCGCAGAAGAAACCTGAACCCAAGACTCGCAAACCGAAACATGTACCGCAGGAAGTTGGCGGAGGGTTGTCGGGGCTAAGCCTTGTTCCGGGAAAAAGCTAAGGGCTTGCTATTGTAGCACTTCGGGGTCTGTGTTATGTGTTCGTTCAGCAATTCGCCTGATGATGTGCATAGTCACAGTCCCCCAGGCCTTAAACTTACCCTGAACTTAACCCCCGGAACCCGACCACTGGCATGATAGCCTACTTGTCGAGTATCCTGGGGAACGAAGGTTAACCTTGGGGAGTAACGGGGATCATATAGGGAGTATAGTATATACCCCAAAAAGGTTACAGATAAAGGTTACCTACTGTCCTACTTGGATAGAGAGCACCATCGTGGGCATGAGCGCCTTCTTGGAGCCAAGAGCTTGTGTCAGGTCCCACGGGACCGAGGTCTCGGCAGCAACCAGTTTGTAGCTTAGGGTTTAGGGTCTGAGGTCTAAGGTAGGTGGTTATTCATGATGAGCCCCCGGCACCCTGCTGCTTTTCACACACCGGGTAAGGAACGACACTTGCAGTTAACAGCAGCACTAGTAACAGCTGTGTAGACATAACTTTGGCAATACCGGCTTGATGGGAAGAATGAGAATAACCAACCGTCAGTAGCTGAGTTTTCTCGCCAACGAAGGTATACAGGCATATATACCTTCAAATGACGGCAGGTTGGCATGGCGGCATGACCACAAGACCGCAGCAATTAGAAGCCACCTGCTCAGCAAAGAACCCCTGCATGTGCAAGCCGACAGAGAGGGTTTAGGGTCTACATACCTTGAACCTTGAACTGCAAAACATACTGGTTTGGTGCAGTGCGCCCAAATATTCCACATTAGGGTTCATAGCTAGAATCCGGCTATTGCAGGTTATAGTACTGCACCGAATTACTCCCCTAAGGGTCCAAGCAGCCCTTAGTTTTCAGTTTTTGGTACCTAAAAAGGCCCTGAAGTCCTACAATAGGGAGTACTTGGACCCTATGGGCTCAAACTAAGCTACATTACACAATCGTCCTAGAACAAGTATTGAAACAGTGCGCAGGGGTCCTGGAGGAACGGGGCAGCTAATCGCCAAGCTTTCACAATCCCCATGACTAGGCCCTCCACCCGAAATGCATCCCGCTTTGAGTGCTTGGGGTGCGCGGTTTAGGAGCCATCATACTAGGGATCCTCTAGAATTTCAGGTACATTCCTTCATTAAGGGATAGTGGAGTCTCCGACGACCCGTCGTCTTGGGATTGTGGTGTGCGATTTAGCTGTCAACTTGAAGTTCAAGCTCGTTTACACCCCAAACCACAAAACCACAAACTGTAAAACCGCACAGCCCTGAACCCCCATCGGAGCTTTGGTGAGTAGACTAGGATTCTGGGGTGAGGCGATACTCACATTACCATAAGGATCCTACAAGAGTTGTTCCTAGTAATTCGTCCTTCTGCTTTTAACCCTAAACCCTTTTTCAGCGCGGACTGAGGTGCCCCCTTTTTGACTAAACCTTAAGCCCGTAAGCACTGGTGCAACATCCTTTTCTGTAACGATTCGAGCTGTACAGGCAGGTCCAGGCGAGCTCCACGACTTGCAGTTATGGGCTATCACACCTTTAATAGGATCCATAAGGGTCTGAGGGTACCTTTAAAGGGTACCTATGAGGGTCCTTTAAGGGGTAGCTTCAAGGCGTACCTTTTCACGATAAGGCAAGACACAGCCCTGTTGTCATCCCAAGACTCGAAACAACCAGACTTCTGCGTGTCTTCATGGCGGCTTGCTAACGTCTGAACACTGGATATAGTGGGGTGGTAGTAAGGTTCATGTGGACGTTTCCTGGTGAGTGAACGAGGCCTGTATGTTTGCTGTAGTTTTCGGACAATGCTTCTACGGTCGTAACGGGTTCTCATCTGCGATCATGGTG